AACCTGTATCCATTTAATATTGGGATAGGGATTTGTGAGGGATTTAGTGCCATTCTGACAGTCGCGCAACCTTTGCGTAGAGGCGTAGAGTGTTGGCGGGTATTTCCCGGAGAAGATAATTGCATCTTTCCTAACCGATGCTGTATAGCACACAGCTGCCGAAGGTCCTCCAACTCGTTCCTTACGACCAAAAAGTTGGTAGCATTGTCTGACCAAATGCATCGCGGAATACCGAACGTATCAATCAACGTATCAAGCACTCAAAAAAGAAGCACTTGTTATTTCCTACACGTCAATTCCAGTGATATAATAATATAAATATTTATTTATATATATATTTTTAACACACAATAGGTCCAAATGTTGGAAGCTGCGGGGGCCCTTTTTCGGATCTGACTCCACATTTACGAATTAAAGATATCTCTTCTGTCAGATTTTAGTTTAGTGTTTTATATATAGTTTTACAATATTTAAATATTTACATTTTTCACTGACCCTTCAGCCCAATATTCATATTTATTAAATATTTTACAGCCTTATATGGAAGAGATATTCACGCAGCTCAAAGGAAAACCATTCAAAAAGTTTTTGGAAAGGTAAATTGCATTTTTCAACCATCAAAGATCTATAATTTAGATTTATTATATTTATATATCTATTCTATTTATTATCTATATATGTATACTAAAATCAAAAATTCTCAGACTTGTTGCCGCTGTGTATTGGTATACCCGTTACTCGAAGAGTATGTATACATGATACATGATTTGTGGTGGAAGTGGAAACCATCTCTGTCTGTCCGTCCGTTCGTCTTGTTTGACGTTCTCAGCGACTATAAGAGCTACAGCATCAACACTTTTTATTCAGACTCCTGTTATATCACACTGAATCGAGTTTGTTTCAAATTTTTTCCACGCCCTCTTCCGCCCACACAAAGGACGAAAAACTGTGGCAACCCCAATTTTGAAAATACAAGAAAGCTCTCTAGCTTTCTGAAGCTAGTTGAAGCTGACAATATCTTCCAGACTGCAGAATGCGAATCAGATCGGATCATTATTATAGCCAGACAGAAGAAATGGCGTACTCATTTGCTGTCGCTCTGTCACAGACGCTTTTTCGTGCATTATGTGCGCCATCTGGCGAAGGGTAGCCATACTGACTGAGTATCGGGTGTCCCCCCGATTTTTGGTCAACAACAATTGGTCTTGTCGCAACTTTTTCCGAACCCGCGCGACCCTCGCGGCCTACACGAGATTCTGACGCCTTGGACAGGCTGTAAGGTCATAAGCTGTCAACTCGAGCTTTTTTTACTAGCGACATGATTACCACCAAATAAGTCTTCAGTTACTGAGGTTTGGATAAGTACTAGGTTTGTTTGGTTAAATATGTGGTTAATATGCTGTTTCGATAGTTACAATTGTTTACTTTGGTCTACAAATATATTATGGGTCATTATCACCGTAACGGGTCTCATTATGTGTTTTTATAGATTGCACATTTACTTAAGTCATATTATTGTATATATGTATTGTTTTATATGTAATAAAACTGTGAATTTATGAAGTCGGACAGTCATGAAATTGGGCTCAAATTTGCCCAAAAAGCGAAAAGTCGTTGCGAAATTTGGTTGTATTGTTGTTGGGTTTGCTGCTGCGTGCATATACAGAGGACAAACGAAAAGAAGCGACAGCGAAAGAGAATGTTTCTGTCGATGTTGCTGTTGTTGTTGGGTTTTTTTCTGTGTCGACGCGCAATACAACGATCATAGACGCACAGAAAAGAATAGCGATAGAGAAAATTTCGGTCGACATTGCTGTGTTGGGTATTTGTTGTGGAGTTCGCGCGGAATCCACGTGCAAAAGTGGTTCGACATTTTCGAACATAATGCTGATGCTATCTGACAAACAAATATATGTTTAGGGCAGAGGCAAGATGTGTGGCGCAGCTAAGCTATTCTTGGAATCCGAGTGCTCGTCTAATTTTTACGTTGTAAGAAAGAACGAGGGGGAACGTTGTGACCGCAACTCTACATTTATACTGAATACTTAGTCAGTATGGCTCACCTCCGGCAGACGCCGCTTATATTAAACGACATGACAAAGAGTGCGTTCGAATCAGTTTGAGCATGTCGTCGGGCGCTGCGAATTGATTTGTTCCTTTTGGCTATAAAAGTGATCCGATCTGATCCTGATTCAGAAATCTGGTAGATATGGTCATTCTTTATGATTGTGCTTTTTTAGTTTTCTCGTATCTTCAATATTGTGGATGCCACAGATTTTCGCTCTTTTTGGGGGCGGAAGGGGGTGGGGCGAAATTTCGAAATACACATGTAACAGTGAGATTTAACAGGAGTGTAAATACCAAATTTTGTTGCTCTAGCCTTAATAGGCTCTGAGATCTGCGGATGCCACACATTTTCGTCCTTTGCGGGGGCGGAAAGGGGTGGCGCGAAATATTGAAATATACTTGTGCAGGTTCGATATCACAGGAGTGAGGATGACCAATTTGGTTGCTCTAGCTCTTTTAGTCTCTGAGATCTAGCCGCTCACATTTTGCAATATCCAAAGACGACCATGAAACCTGTGTGTTAGAGAGAGACAGAGCGAGAGAAATTGAAATATTTATACGATCTGGTTCAGATTTTGCACTCTAGAAGATATAGTCTTCCTCTACAATTATTTGAAATTGTGAATGGCACAGATTTTCGCCCTTTGTGGGGGAGAAAGTGGGCGGGGCGATGTTTTGAAATAAATTTGTAAGAGTGACATATCATAGAAGTCCGGATATAAAATGTCGTTGCTTTAGCTCTTATAGTCTTTGAGCACTAGGCTCTCATAGGGACGGACAGACAGACATGGCAGACAATCGACTCGGCTATTGATGCTGATCAAGAATATATATACTTTATGGGGTCGGCAACGATTCCTTCTGGACCTTACACACATCCATTTTCAGCACAAATCTAATATACCACTATACTCATTTTGAGTATTGGGTATAATTTATATGAGAACTCGAAAGTAATACCAATAGTGCGGATATCCACCAATCGCTGCGAAATCGTAAAATGAAGAGATCGGAAACTTTCCACGAATATTTGTTGAACATGGAGAAGATAGCCTGCGTCGGAAATATTGAAGAAGCAGCAAAATTGCGGTATATCGTAAACAGGATGCAAACAAAAAAGCCAGTTCAAACTGCCAATATATCGGTGCCAGTCGTATAAGGCGTTGAAGGAAGAGCATGCTATTTACGAACTGGTTCAAGGAAAACTCAGCAGTGACAAAAACACAGTTGCATTTAAGAATAAAACGTCGGTAACTGAAGGAAAAAATTATATTGTTTTAATTGCGGTTCGCCGGATCATAACGAGAGTGAAAATATCTCCCGTAATTATCCAACGGCGTTTTTGAAAAGATGAACGATGTGAAAGTGCTGGAAAGTGTAACCACTTTGCGGGGCCTATTGGGCTACGATGGACTATTGGGCTACGATTTTATAAATAAGTTTCCTAAGCCTGGAACATCAGAAAAGTCCCTCTTCCGGAGTATAACATGGTTTACAATGTGATCGAAACTCCAGGTAATTTTGTGGCCCCACCCCAATATCAAAAGAACATCAAGCAGCTAGTGGAAAGCAGTTACAAGTCAGCCAAAATGCCTAGAATATGTCAAATTGAGCTTAAGATCATTCAAGATGGATTGTTAAAACCTTTTTTTTAAGTCGCCAAGCCGTGAATCTGGAGATGAAGCTACAGCTGTAAAAAAAACATATTAATTGAGTGGCTCGATCAGGGTATTGTACGCAAATCAACTTCTCACATAGCGAGCAGAATTGTAATTTTCAGAAAGATAGATCGTTGAGAACGTTGAACGTTGAGAACGTTGAGAGTCTGTGTAGACTTTTTGAATTCAACAATGTGCCATACGGTTTGTAAATCATATTTTCTAGCCGTATGTGCCGTATAAGCCGTTTACGCAGCTGTATATGGATGACATCATTATATATACCAACGACGGCGAGGAATGCATTACCAAAACAAAGAAAGTTATAACGATAGCAGCTTTGTATGTTCGAGGCAAAGCTTCACCCGGTTTATTTTTGGAGCAAAAAGACGACGCAATCCGAATCTATGTTGTCATTCAGGTTGGATGACGACAGTCCGGATGGCCGAATGTAAGAAGGCTGTGCTGACTGTACGCTAGCGTTCCCTGCCCCGATCGCGAGAGAGCAGAGAGCGAATCACGAAAGCGCGTCAAGCGCCCGAGAGAGGACTCTCATTACTCAGTTCTCAGCCTTCGTTTTAATAAGACGTCTCATCAGTTGTCCGTCGCCAAAGTCGCCAAATTAATTATCATTAAAAACCTATCCTAGAACTGATATACAACTTACATTAAATATAAATAAACGTTATACTAATTAACATTTCTGCATAAATATTTGGGATATTAAAATCACAGCGCCTTGTGGCCCACTATACTATTTACTTAAGACTACTCGTACGATAAGTAGAAATTGTACCCATGTCCATATGTGAACACCGTCTGTCCGTCTTGTTTATCATAACTGAAATATGATTTTAGATATTGGAAAATTAGATATTACATTTTTTTGTTCTGGCAGAATAGATATTTGATAGATATATGTCGGTTCGTATGTTTATATTAAACTACTCCCTTAATAGAATAGCTATCTCATCGAAATTTTTAATATACACACGCTACTGATATGGTCACGTCTCGAAGAACTTGTTTAATAAATGTACAGAACTAATTCAATTCACTTTTAGTTTTCTAACCTACAGTACGTATTTTACAAATATGTATATAGTTTGTGATCGACTAAATATCAAAAACATAAGCAAGTCTATGTTTTTGTTTAAGCGTCATAAGCGGCAAGTCTCTACTGAAATCTCATACGTTTTTTTTTTGTACAAATTACCCCAATTCTTTGGCTTTTCGAAACGTATTTGTACCAATTCTACGTTTCAAGTATTCGAACAAGTTTTTCATTGGGTTTAAGTAAGGAGGCCAGAGTAAAGAACTCTTCGGGCTATACGTGCTGGTAAGTCTGTATATTGAAGTTTCCGATAAACCATCCGATATTTCTTAGCGAATTTTAGCGGATATGGACTTGGAAGACATGAACATGATCCTTTTGGGCAAGAATGATGATGCGGTTGTCTGTTGTTTTTTCTTCTTCCATAGTCGTTTTTAAGTAAGAACTTTTGTTTTTGACGTTGATATGCAATGACTACATCTTTCAAGTGGCGATGCAATTACTGCACCATCAATTGGCACGTGTGGAACCAGCAGAAGGCTGTTACTCGCGGATCCCAGGAAAAACGTAGCCAAACTTACCTTGAAAGCCTTTGATAATGAAGGAGGTGAACTCTAATAAATTTGTGGTTGTTGATCTCCGCCTTATAAATTCATGCTGAGCTGGAGAAATAAGCGATTTGCAGAGATGTTGCAAGTGCGGAGTTAAAGTGTTCTCACACATTTTAGTAATAGCGGTGTTGATGTGTGTGTGTGTGTGTGTAGGAAGCTGGGTTGCATACGGTACATAAACCGTCTACAGTTTGGTCGTCGCAACTAGAACTTGAACCAGTTGGACTGCGGAGTGGGTATCCTACGGTGCGCAAGGGAGGGTCTGAAGACACGGCGACAGCCTCTGATGATTGCGATGGAAGATGAGTGACAGGCAGTTATGGTACTGTTTCTGATACTGATTTTATTGATAAAAATGATTCTTATTTATAGAATAGCAACTGCCCCGCTGTCTTCGCACTCTGCGGAGAGAGTGCATTGTCAGCAGAACTCACTGCAGTGGCTAGTGTGTTGTCGTGAGGTATTATATTGCATGTTACGTAGAACACTGTGTCACGGTGCCACTGTGTTATGCCGACGGGTATTATACACTATTACGGCCGTTGAAACTGTGTTCAACCATCGTTCAAGTCGACGGCAAACCGGCGTGCAAGGGGTATAGGGGGTGATGACATGGCTGGATCGGGATTTGATGGCCTTGGTTTCCATAGTTGATACTTCTTCCGGAAGATGAAGGCAATGATCAATAGAATTGATATTGCTAGGGCTGCATAAGCAGCGAGTTGATGGTGCTGCACGGTGGTGAGATGGTGTGGCAGCTCGTGATGATTTATGGCTGATAGTTGCTGGCGTAGATCATCAAGTTCTTGAAGAAAGTCTGATGTCTGGTTCTTCAGTTGCCACTTTGGTGGCGAGGGTGATGTCTCCGGTGGGCTCAGGTCACCAAACCGAGTGTAAGTCGATTTTACTTCGCTGATTGTGGTGCTGAAGGTGCTGATGCTTACTTCAGTATTGCGAGCAGTGCAACCAGGGGACATGGAGAGTAGACCAGTTCCTTCCAGTGCTATGGTTGACGGAACTCCGTTGCATACTGCTTGAAGTTTAGTTGTAGAATGCGTTGCGAAGATCCATTTATTTGGATGCTGAGTTTTTAGCCACACCGTGTCAGCCGTTGTGTGTGTTACCTGACACAGTGTTTCTGTTTTATTGTTAAACAGTTGAAACTCACAGCGATTGTCCACATTGAAGATCGTCTGATGGTCAAAGCAGATGAACTCCTCGTTGTGTACTTTAAGACAACGTCGGAATTCCTCTTGGGTAGTGCCCATGAACTGGTCTCGGTGGATGTTAACCGTTACTATGGTGGTTCTGAGGTCAAATAGACTCCAGCTTGTTGAATCCCAAAACGGAATTGGGTGGTTGCTGAAGACTTCGAGCTGAGCTGTTGAGACCAGCGGTAGCGTCACCTTGAAGATGACGTGTTTTGCAGTCGGGGTTCCTTCGGCTCGCATGATTCTGTATGGTTTAATCACCTCCTTCGTTGTGACCGGCAGTATTTGATCTTGTGGCAAATGATCCCGTATCTGGTTTAGTTGGTCTCTTAGTTGCTCGGGAGACACCAGCGTGGGGCTTATTCTCCGATGATGAATACCGATTAGGACATCAGATATGTCGGACTGCATTCGTTGAAGAGTTGTTGTGAGCTGGGTTTATTCTGCTATTAGTCCTAAGTACGCTTGAGTCAGATGATCGCTGTGATATGACCCTCTTTCTCGGTTGATAGTAGCCACATTCTCTTCCAAAATTTTTAGGCGATTGTCAGTTGTTACCTTGTCTTTTCTGACTACGTTTATTGTCGCGTCGACAATTGATGTTTGGTGTTGGAGCAGATGTAGTAAAAAGTCTTCATTGGTTTTCACTTTCTCAATTACTTGAGTCATCTCCTCTGCGTATTTTGCGTCGAGAACACCAAAAAGACTGCTTGCTACATTTGCTATGATATCCAGCGGCGATCTGCGTTTTCGAAAGTTTTTCATTAAAACGCTTCCTGTTTGTAGCTCGTTATACACATATTGAAAGTGTTGAACTATTGAGTTACATGCCGGAACATTTTTATACCCGATACTCAAAATGAGTATTGGGGTATATTAGATTTGTGGTAAAAGTTGATGTGTGTAACATCCAGAAGGAATCGTTGCCGACCCCATAAAGTAGATATATTCTTGATCAGCATCAATAGCCGAGTCGATTGAGCCCTGTCTGCCTGTCCGTCTGTCCGTCCCCTTCAGCGCCTAGTGCTCAAGGACTATAAGAGCTAGAGCAACGATGTTTTGGATCCAGACTTCTGTGATATGTCACTGCTACAAAAATATTTCAAAACTTCGCTACGCCCACTTCCGCCCCCACAAAGGACGAAAATCTGTGGCATCCACAATATTACAGATTCGAGAAAACTAAAAACGCAGAATCATAGAGAATGACCATATCTATCAGACTGCTGAGTCTGGATCAGATCGGATCATTTTTTTAGCCAAAAGCAAGAAATCAATTTGCAGTAGCTACGCAGCTCCCGACGTCACGATCAGACTGATTTTCTGTCTTTCTCGCACGCACTCTTTGTCGTATCGTTTAATATTAGCGGTGTCTGCCTGAGGAGCGCCATACTGACTAAGTATCGGGTATAAATGTAGAGTTGCGGTCTCCGCAGCAACTCACAACGTTCCCCCTCATTTAGTTCAGGGCACATGTATCGTAACTCTGAAATTCCAGCAGACATTAGTTGCATATTCTTCCAATATGGGTCCAAGTCATGGTATAAGATCATGGTCCACTCAGACGTTGCTATTCTTGATGTTCCAAGTTTCTCATAGAATATTCCAGGCTTGTTTGCGAATTGTGTCACATTTATTGACTGTGACAACGCTAATGGAAGCATGAGCAACAGCACCCCTAATGTTGATGTTAATGTAGGTGACAATTTTGTTGTTCGCTGTGTGGGTGGCTCATTACTCTCCGTGGTGTCACTGATCACGTTGTGGGAACGTTTGATTGCCACATCTTCTGGAAAGAGCGGCGCTAGACGAGTGATCGGGCGCTTGTATACGCCAGATGCTGTCTTAACGTCAACCACTCGTACGTGGTTGTCCTGTCCAGGATATGTCTTAATGATGCGACCCATTGGCCACTTCATTACAGGAAGGTTGTCTTCTTTAACCAAAAGTAATAATCCTTCAGGTACGTTTGGTGAAGCGGTCTTCCATTTATGCCGAGCTTGCAATTCTTGGAGGTATTCTGTAGACCATTGTTTCCAGAATGAATGCTTTAGGTGCGATACCAATTCCCAGCGCTTGACCAATGTTCTTCCTTGATGATCAGTATTGACGTCAGGATTCGTTGTCAATGGTTCACCAATCAAGAAGTGTCCTGGGGTGAGCGCTGTTGTATCAGTGGGATCATTTGACATTGGAGTGATGGGTCGAGAATTGAGAATTGCTTCAATTTCGATTATCACTGTGTTTAGTTCTTCAAATGTCAATGAGGCTGTGTTGGTGGTTGTTATCAACAGCTTTTTTGCTGATTTTACCGCCGCTTCCCAGAGGTCGCCAAACGATGGAGCCCTGGGAGGAATGAATTTAAAATCCACTTGTTTTTTGTTGCAATGATTCGTGATCAGAGCACTTGCCTTTGAGCTGAATATAGAGTCTTCTAATTCTTTAAGCTGGTTGTTTGCACCCACAAAGTTCGTTGCATTGTCGCAATGAATAGTTTGGCACTTCCCACGTCTGCTTAAGAATCGACGCAGGGCGGCCAAGAATGCATCTGTGGTAGGTAGCTTACCAGCTCCAGGTGTACTGCCTTTGTGGAAAAGCAGCAGAACACGGCGATGAATGCCTTATCTGGTCTTTTGCCTCGGATCTTATGGTGGATCGAGATTGGTCCACAGTAGTCGACGCCTGCATTAAGAAACGGGCGTGCTAGTGTGACTCGTTGTGCTGGGAGATTGCCCATGATCTGGTTCATCAGCTTTGGTCTAGCCTTGGTGCATCTAACACAGCTGTGGATGATGCTTCTAGCCATTGTCTTGTCATTGATAATCCAATTTTGTTGTCTTGCGATTGCCCTTAATGCTTGAGCACCACAATGCATGTTCTCCTCATGTAGCTCCCGCAAGATCATTTTGACGATTGGGTCATTGTAAGGCAGCAAAACTGGGTGTTTTGCGTTGTATGGAAGTAGAGCTTCTTCAAGTCTACCACCAACTCGGATGAGCTCATCGTCTCCTAGGAAGGGAGATAACGATATGATCGAGCTCTTTCTATCCACAGTCTTATAGCGTTGGAACTGTTTTAACTCTGCTGTAAACTCGACTTGTTGTATGGTTCGCAGGATTATAGTGCGGGCGTCAGTTCGTCTGCGCAGAGCGTCGTGGTGTTCGCTCTGTTGGTTTTGTAGCAAACGCGAAACATATATGCCACAATGCGTTGCAGTTTGTGAAACGAGTTGCTATGTCTGCAAGTATATAATTCATCCCCAAGTGCGCTAGGTGTGATTGCCAAGCTTATATGTTTAGCTTTTCTCTCAAGATTGCTGGGTTCTATGTTGGCTGCCTTCGTCCAGTTGTCTCGAGATCCGTGCAGGAATAATGGTCCATATAACCACAGATTGTGATCTGCCAGTCTGCTTGCTGCGGTTCCTCTTGACAGGACATCGGCTGCGTTGTTGGCCGATGACACGTGACGCCATTGTGACTGGTTTGTTAATGCCTGGATCTTGGCTATTCGATTTGCCACAAAGGTATGGTATGTTGATGACGATGCGTTTATCCAGGATAACACAACGGTGGAATCACTCCAAAACCATCCTGAAACCGTGTTAATGTCCATGTGCAGATCCTGTCGGACTCGGTTTGTGAGCTCGGCACCGAGGTCTGCAGCACAAAGTTCTAACCGTGGTAGCGATTGTTTGGCTGTCGGCGCCAGTCTTACTGACACTTGGTTGTTTTTGTATGTAGCGCGTACATATACTGCTGCGCCATATGCTCGTTCTGATGCATCTACAAACGTATG